ACTTCTCAGGATTGCGCTGTCTCCTGGCACGGCTGCTCCAGACCCGTCGCCATCTTGGAATCTTAACCGTTTTTAAGTGTACAGTTTCTCAGTGTTAAGTACAGTCACATTGTTGTGTAACCAACCTCCAGAACTCTTTCCTTCTTACAACACTAAAGCATGAATGTACAAAGTTCTCTTCAAGACCTTGCTTTCAATTCTCCTGGGTATATACCCAGAAGTGAAATTGTTGGATCTATCTTCTTTTGTATTTTTTTTCCTCATTCCACTTTTTCTCCCTACTTGTTTGGAAATTATACATTCTGTTTTTATTCATTTTGTGATTACATTAGAAATTAAAGTATACTTTCTTAAATTATCCAGTTTAACATTAATCAATATCTTTATTTTCACATTAATTAATAGAAGGATCTTAGAACAGGTTGACTTTACTTACCTTTCTCCCAACTAAAATTCTATTTTCATGTATTTTTAATTTTATGTATTATTAAAACACACAAGGTATTATTATTATTATTGTAGTTATATAGAATCAGTTATCATTTAGATTTGCCCATGTATTCACCAATTTTTTTTTGCTTTTCATTCTTTCCTGAATTTCTGACCTTCCATATGAAAATATTTTCCTTCATTGTGAAGAATATTCTTTAGAATTTTCTATACTATGCATTATGCCTGAAGTGTTCTCTCTCAATGTTTGTTAGAAAAATGTTTTTATTTAACTTTCATTCCTTAGGATTTAAAAAAAAAAAAAATAGAATCTGAGTTTCTTGTTTGTCTCAGCACATTGAGAACATTGTTCCTACTGTCTTCTCATTTCCATTGCCACTTTTGTTAAGTCAGCTGAGACCTAAGTACTACTTCTTTGAATGTAATCTGTCTTTTTTCCCCTCTTGTTTCTTTGATATTCTCCTTAAGATTAGTTTCCTAAAGTTTCACTCTATTAAGTCTAGTTTTGAATTTCTTTATATTTATTCTGCTTTGTATTTTTGGAATTCTTTAATCTATGACTTAGCATCTTTCTTCAGTTGTATAAAATTCTCAGCTACTCTCTGCCTAAATATGTCCTCTTCTCCATTTTGTCTCTCCTCTGTCTATATTCCAGTTAATCATATGTTAATCCTCCTTATTACATCCTCTGTGTCTCTATCCTTCCATACTTCCCATCTTTTTGTTAACCTGTGTTTCCTGCTGGATTGTGTCTTTAGATCTATCATCTAGTTTACTAATTCTCTACTTAGATGAACTTGGTATTATATTAAACCAAAACATTGAGTTCTTAATTTGGTTATTGTGTAAATTTTTTTCAGTTTTCTAAATTCTATGTGTTTCTTCTGTTTTTTTGTTTCAAAACCCTTTTTCTTTGTACTTTCAAATTTGTGTGTTTTTAGTGAGAGGTTTGCTTTAAATGACCTAGTTCAGTATTATCCAAAGCAGAAGTCCCTCCTTGCTTTTCTTTATAATTTTGCCATCTATGTTTATATTCCTAAACAATATTTTGTTCACCTTTTCGTATTTTTTACCTTTGTATGAATGTATACTATGTTTATTTTATGACTTAATTTTTTGTCACTATGTTTGTAGGAATCATTCATATTGATATATATAGCTGCTGTCTGTAATGCCATAGCAGTTGAAACATTGAAATGTACAAAGGACTGTGACAAAAAGTAGTATTGAATATATTGAAAGTGAATCAGGAGCTAAAACCTTCAAGATATAAGGGTTAGTCCTCTAGGGATTAGTATATGACTGCAATGATAAAGTTTAGCAGGTGGTATAGTCTGACAAAATGAGATTCAAGCTACATGTTCTTAATAGAGAAGGAAGAAAATATTCTGAATGGAGCAATGAGGAGCAAGATTTCTCCTACTATACCTCCAGGCCTGCAGAACATGATTTTCAGTTAGAACAGGATGGCTGACCCTGTGTTCCAGAGGCCACAGTGGAAGAATTTCAGGAGATGGAGCAGAGGTGGCAAGTGAGGTCAGAAAAGAGAATATATAGAGCTATATGGTGATCATTGTCTAAAACATGAATGAAGGCTTCTGAAGGTTGGGCTTGGTAAGGCAATAGATACAAACTGGTATAAAGAACATAGTGAAATTAATCCTGATGGTCTGAAGACAAATAGTACTTGTGGAGCTGTAGTGTTGCAATGTGGAGGAAGAGGTAAGAATCTTTACTGGTAGATGCAGAACTCTGGGACCTCTTCCTCATTCCTGGTAGTAGTGTTATGAAGAATTCCTTCTGTTTTCTAGAGATCATCCCTTCTCAACCAGAAAATTAAGAACTAATGACCTAAGGTGGTTATTGTAGGTGATTAACTTCTCTCTATAAAGAAGGTGATTAACTTCTCTCTTCCTTTTTAGAATGGTACTAGCTATCTATGTGCCATCTTTGGGGGAATAGGGAAAACAGTCTCTTAAATCATTTTTTTAGGGATTAATTCTCCCATGGAACCCTGGTTAAGAAAAGCTGTTCTAGTTACTACTTTCAGGGTGGTATTACATGTGGTAGATTTCTAATAATTTATGCCGTGCCTTTTCAATTTATTTATTTGAATGGACATTCCTAATTTTAATAAAGACAAATGTGACCATCTTTTTTGTGGTTTATGGTTTATGCTTTTTATGTTGTATTTAAAATATCATATCCTACCCCTAAGATCATATATATATTTTCTTATATTTCTTTCTAAAAGTTTTAAAAAATTTTACCTTTAAGTTCTTTCTTTGTCTGAAATTTATTTTTTGTATAATGGTGCAAGGTGGGAATCCACTTTATTAAACAATTTATCTTTTCATCAATGATCCACAGTGCCAACTCTGTCATAGATCCAATTTTCAGATATATATATAGGACATTTTTTGTGCTCTCTATTCCATTAGATTATTTGTCTATACATATGACAAAATCAAATTGTCCTGATTGTTACACTTTTAAGTAAGTGTTGATATCATTGGGTAGAGCAAATTTGTCTCCTCTACCCCTCGCTGTCCCACCTGATTCTTTTTTAAGAATGTCTTGGCTATTCATGGATCTTTTCTTTTCTTTTCTTTTGCTTTTCCCCCATTAAATTTTTAAAATAAATTTGTCAGACTTCCAGAGAAAACCGACTGGGACTTTGATTAGAATTGCATTGATCCTATAGGAGAGTCTGGAGAAAAACTGACATCTTTATTTTACTGGGTCTTTTTCATGTTTGTCTGACTGTCTTCAAAATGTGTCACTGTGTTATTGGCAATTTATGTGGGATTATAAGAGATGTCAGTGTATGCCTGCTTGTCAAGTTAAGATTACTTTTTCAGTTGTATTTCTAAAATGTAGGTACTTCAAAGTTCAGTCTGTATTTGAGGGTATTTTAAAAAGTTCATAGAAAGATTCATGTTATATTTTAATTATATTTTTCCACGAACTTTTTGAAGTACCCTCATATTTATGCATACTTTTTAAAATAAAAGAGCATTTTCCTTATGAGAAAGATTGTGGATTTGAGGGTGAGTGTCATAGTTATTTGTGTCTAGGTCAGAGACAATATAGCATAGTGGTCAAGCAAGTTTATGTAGGTGAATTCACTTATATGTGCATCTGTCCGCGAGAGGCAGTAAACAGTGTGTAAGAGCTTGGTCTCTGGAGCCACACTTTCTGTGTTTAAATCCCAGTTCCAACCCTTTGCTACACAGTACTTACGGTGGCTCAATTTTCTTGTCTGTAAGATGGGATGAGTAATAATATTTATTTCTTTGATATACAGGCATAAAGTATTTAGCACAGTGCCTAGCACAGAGTAAACGTTATGTAAGTGTTAGCTGCTATCATTATCATCACCCATGATAGAGGGAAGACTGAGGAGGTAATTAAGATGATGACCTCCACAGTTAAGTATATTCAGCTTTCCTATATTTTTCCTTTCAACATCCCCTCCACTGCTTTCTCATTATTATTTAGTATATTTATCAACCAAATACTAGAATGTAGTGTAAGGATGAAGAGTATAGGCTTTGGAGTCTGGTAGGCCTGGACTAAAATCCTGGCTTTACCTTTTCTCTTAGTATGTGATTTAGGACAAATCACTTAATCTCTAGTTTTTAGTTTCCTTACCTGAAAACTGTAAATAATAATAGTTAATATCATCCAATAAGATTGTTGCGAGAGTTAAATATGAAAAAGTGATTAGCATAGTATCTAGCACATTTCCAATTTTATTTTTTGTCGTCATCATTGTTATTGTCATCCTGTGTTCTTTTCTGTAAAATTGTTATGATACAACCTACTTGGCAGTATTGTTGGACTAAATCAAATAACGTATGTAAGTGCTTTGTGTGATGATTGGAAAAGAGTAAATATCCAATAAATGGTACTGTAAACAAATTCTTATTTTTAGCATTATTGTTTCACATACTGTATACTCATGCAGATTCTATTCTTACCCCACTCTTATTTACTGTGTCAGTTGCTTTTTTCCTTTCTTTTCATCATATCTGATATCCTATGATAGATATATCTTAGTTTTTAATAGTAGAACCTTACAGTTTTGCCCTTTCTGTTTTTTGCGAATGTTTGTTTATTCTCTGCTGGCAGCCTTGCCATAGATTAAAACAAACTTCTCTTGCCAGGAAAGGTTTCATTAAACTTCAGGCCCTTAACTCTAAGGTTCTATATGACTGTTTTATACAAGCATTATCTAAATCAAATAATTCTTTTAAAATATCTTATTTTTAAGGAATTTTTATTTTATTGCTTTTAGAAGAAAACATTTGAAAACCAGAAAACAAAAATGGTAATTGATCAATCTGTCTTATTCTACCACTTTTTATTTTCAGAGTGGCAGGCAACATACTACCTTTTCAGCAGAATCAAGTCGGAGCCTTTTGATTTGTCTACTCTGGGTTCTCAAGAATGCAGATGAAACAGTTCTACAAAAGTGGTTTACAGATCTTTCAGTCCTCCAGCTAAACCGGCTATTAGATCTGCTTTATCTCTGTGTATCTTGCTTTGAGTACAAAGTAAGTGATCATTGTATCATTGCAAAGAACAAGAAAGGAATATAATACAGAAAAAGAAGAAGAAAATTTCCTCAGTGCCTCTTTTCTAATGTTTAAATTTTAGGGGAAAAAAGTGTTTGAAAGAATGAACAGTTTGACCTTTAAGAAATCAAAAGACATGAGAGCAAAGCTTGAAGAAGCTATTCTTGGGAGCATAGGTGCTAGGCAAGAAATGGTACGCCGAAGCCGAGGACAGCTCGGTACGTACACAGTATCTTCTCCTTCTGGTGAGGATTTTTTCAGTTTCCTTGAATTACATATTGTAAGATCATTGTTGCAAGTCTTTAATGACATTCCTGCACTTTTTAAAAAGCATTTTAAATGTAACTGTGAATTAATTTGAGTAATCGTTTCTCTGCAGGAATGCAGGTTACAATTCTGATTTAAGGAGTGTGAACATACTTTCTGGTTTATTCTGGATAGTCTCAATTTATGCCTATTGCCCTTATGTTGTTATTAATAGCATCCCCCCACCCTTTTTGCAAATAGTCTTTTTTTTTATAGAGCAGTTATAGGCTTATGGCAAAATTGAGCCAAAAGTACAGAGATTTCCCATAGACCCCTTGCCCCCACACTTGCATAGCTTCTCCTTGTTATCAGTATCCCCCACCAGAGTGGCACATTTGTTACTATTGATGAACCAATATTGACACATCATCACCTAGAGTTCATAGTTTACTTTAGGGATCATTCTGTGTGGCATCCCTTTTTACTCTTGAAAGCATCCTAATTTGTACATTAATTTGAATTAATGTACCCTGCATCTAAGCAAAATATTCCCTATCAAACTCAAATATCAGAGAGAGAAAACAGTTTAGTAGTATTTGAGGCCTGTTTGTAATCACAGGTCTGCTAACAATTAGCAATATACCCATTGGCCAAGTCACTTAAACTCCCCACCTTCCTTTTTCTCATCCACTTGTGATTGTTTTGAGAATTTGGAAGGTAGTGTAACTAACTAATTTTCTTTGTAGTGACCCGGTATGTGTAAACATTTTGTAAATTCTAAAGTGATATACAAATAATATTGTTTCTAAGAGTTCCTTAATGTCAAAGGCATGGCTTAATCATCTGTGTATATGACACATGCTAACAGAACAATGTATATTTGTTGACTCAAACTTTGAATATATGTGTGAACAAATTTTTTTTTTTTTTTTTGTGACCGCAGCCAGTGAGCGCACAGGCCATCCCTATATAGGATCCGAACCCGCGGCGGGAGCGCTCTTGCGCTCCCAGCGCCGCATTCTTCCAAGTGCGCCACAAGGTTGGCCCATGAACAAATATTTTTTAATTATTGTCTTCTGACAGGCCATTAGCACAGTGATTATCTATTTAACTATCTTTTATATGTTATGTGTGTCCAGAGTATTAATGAATAATACAGTCTTTGCCTTTGAAAGAATTAATAGAGCACTGGTTTTCCACTTTGGTTATATACAGTTCACAATGTGCCTTTGGGTTTTCTTTTAACTCATTAATTATGTGCAAAAACCCTCTAAAAAGGTATGAAAATTAACTTTTACTTAGGTCACTAATTATTACCAAAACCTAATGAAAAATTATACTCATCTTTTAGATTAAGAAAGTAAAACTCAAAGAAGGAAATAACTTGTCTAAGATCATAAACCAGGTGACAGAACCAGAATCTTTTGACTTCTAACTCAGTGTTTTTTTGTTTTATATGACAGCTCTTTCTAAGGGGTATTTTTGGAGAGAATGGGAGTTGTAACAATATGTTTATTTTTTTTAAACCTGTGGCCTCAGGATAGCTATATCATTGTTTAAATGTAAGAATTGAATCTTGTCTTAGAAAGCTTAAGTCTTTATAATTCTTATTTACATTTGGACATTTAAGGACATATTATTAGGTCACCTAATAATAGACATTCTTTTTTTTTTTTTTTTTTGTCTTTTTTCGTGTCCGGCAACGGATCGCAACCCTCAGTGTCGCGCCCGTACCGGACCGGGACCGGCAACGGGATTGCAACCCTCGGTGTTGCGCCCGCACCTCGCTCAGCCAGTGAGCGGGAACCGGTCTGTATGTGGGATCCGAACCCTCGGCGGGAGCGCCGCTGCACTCCCCAAGCGGCGCGCTGTAGCAGTGCGCCACCGGGCCGGCCCATAATAGACATTCTTAACTAAGGAGGAGAGATAATTTTGTGAAAAAGAAAAGTAAATGATAGAAATGTAAATAATCACAGGTATTTATTTTGCTAAATATCTTAATATAGGCATGTCTTTTTTTTCTTCACAAAATTTTTTAATACTGTAAACCAAATGATATTTGTTTCTCACTATTTTTAAAGTTTCTATTCGAATTCTGAATTTTTACTTTCATTATTCCATCTTCTCAACCAATTTAGTCTTATCTTTTTCAAAAAGGAGTTTTAGTTTTCTAGTTGAAAGCTTGAAATCATGACTGATTCCATTATTTAAATGTATGCATATTTCTGCACAATTCTTAATGCTCATTATTCCATCTTCTCAACCAATTTAGTCTTATCTTTTTCAAAAAGGAGTTTTAGTTTTCTGGTTGAAAGCTTGAAATCATGACTGATTCCATTATTTAAATGTATGCATATTTCTGCACAATTCTTAATGCTTTCTGTATTTCTGATGGATTTGTATCAGTCAATTCTGTTGCTGCTGCCCCTGAAACAAGCCAGTCCTATTCAATCTACCTTTAAACCTAGAAACCTCTTGAGGCAAAGCCCTCTTCTTCTTCTTGTCCTGCCTTATGTAGACCTTAATTACTTTCTTCCTATTTTGTTTATTTATTAAACAAAAACTTATTGAGCCAGACACTTGTCAGCCTGGACATAAAGTGCTGGACAAAACAGACATTATTTCTGTTCTTAAGTAGCTTATATTCTTGTGGTAATAAGTGCTATGGAAAGGAACAAAGCTAATTAAGAGAAAAAGAAGTGTTGGAGAGTGGGGGAAGGCATTTCTGAGGAGGTGGTGAATGACTGGCCAGTGAAAATTTGTGGAAGAACAATCAGGTAAAAGGAACAATCATGCACAGGTCCTAAATCAGGAGCATATGTAGTGAGACTATATACACTGATAGTGAATAGCAAAGAGAACAGCTTAACTGTAGTGTGGGGTCAGAAATAGCATCAAATCATGCAGGGCCATCATTAAGATTTTAAGGGAACCACTGTTAGAACATTTACTTATTTAAAAGGGTGGGGTTTTTTTCCAAAAAATATTTAATGTAATGGATATATTTCTTCTGTAACTACTGTGAAAATTTTTAATAAAAATCATCATTGTCAGGTGTTTTTACTTATACTGAGGATAAAAGGGCTGTGTACAAAATTAATGTTGTAAAGTATTTCTTGTATATTGCAAATAAGACAAATATGTGGTCCAAACAAAATAACATTTTAAAATTGGTTTTGAAATTTGAAAGAGAGAAGCCCATCTGGAAGTGCCTTTGGAAGTCAAGAAAATCTGAGGTGGAGAAAGGATATGACTCACTGGCGTCAAAACACGGAGAAGCTTGACAAGTAATATAACCTATTTTATATTACCTATGGGCTTGTTGGATTTCAAATGCAAGAGGAAAATGATTAATTTAGTTTTAGACTAAATATATTTAATTTTTAAATTTTAAATTAAAAATTATTTGGGGAAGAATTTTTCATGTGCAGGCAACATATAAGGCATGTAAGGCAAAATATTATATATTTTAAACCCAAGAAATTCTCTTGGAAAATGCATTCAGCAACTATTTTCTGAACATATTTTAGGTATCACACTGAACTAAATATTTCATGTATTACAAAGAATTAGAAAATTAATATTTGCCCTCTTGGAGCTTAGACTATAATTAAAGAAAGGCAAAACATAATACAGGTGTTCTGTTTCTAGCACAAACCCAAACTAGGTATGTTTACTGACCCCCACTGCCAAAAACAGCTACAAATTACTTAACTTGTGTCTACTCTTCTCACTGCCTAGGTGACCACAGGTAAACTTATTTGGCTTGAAACTTGGCATTGAGTGGAGGAGCTAAATTTTTCTGTTTAGAATTTATAATTACAAAGGTAGCCCTCAAGTAGTTTGGCCAAAAAAACTTAGAGAATAAGGTGATTGATTCATTCAGGTTTGTCTAGGATTCTCCCACTTTTTAGCACTGATTGTCTCACATCCCAAGAATTCCCCTCCGTCCTGTTTTAAGGCAAACCAGGATGGGTGGTCACCCTGTCTGAGAACCATTTTCAGTCCAAGCCTCAGCAGATTCTCACAAATAAACTTCTGGAAATATTTTCTCACAAACAGTAAAATCATAAAACACAGGAAAGGAGGCCCTGTGAGGGCAAGTATAGAGAGAAAGAGTGGTCTCAGAACCATATCTATATGGTTTGGAATTATCAGATACTGAATGTAATATAAGTATGCTAAAATTCCTAAGCTTTGAATGTGTGCTTTTTTCTTCTCTCTGTCCGAGTCTGTTTCTCTGATTGTTTTTCCATGTATTTTTTAGAAATCACAAAACATCTGGGTACTATACTATAGTATATTACTTTATTTTTTAATTTGTATAACATGTTCTTTTCGCTTAGGAAGTCTTTTGGTGTTTTCTTGATTCTTTTTGTTTAAACCATCTCGGTATTTTTATGTTTCTTTATAAAATCTCCCTGGAAATTTTAAATTTGAACATTAAATATTTTCTTTTCCAATTTAATTCTGTTAACTATGTTCTATTTTATTCTTAAATTTGATTTGTAAAATGTAAATTCATGAAGTATTATCTTTAGCGGTGGTAATAAAGAATCAGAGATTTGGAGATTTAAGAACTTAGGAAAGTTATCATTTAATATGTCTTTGTATTTTCACTTTGACTTACGTTATATCCAAATAGACAAAACAACAACTTATGTTGTATATTTGGATATAACATACAGGAATACTTTGAAATATAACATACAGGGATACTTCAAAAAGTTCATAGAAAAACAGAGTTGAAAGATGATATGAATTTTTCTGTGAACTTTTTAAATTACCCTCATATAGTTTCTATGTATGTATTACTACTGAAACAAAAATGTCAACTTTACCTACAAGTCATATGTAGTTATTTTTAAAGTTTTTATTTTCATTAAATGATACTTTCATAAATATTAATATTCAAGTAAACCAGAAATTGTTTCTTTTTCTTTATTTTCTGATTTTTTCAGCTTTATTGAGTTATAATTGACAAATATTGTTTATATTTGCAGTATACAGTGTGATGTTTTGATATATGTGTACAATTGTGAAATGATTACCACAATCAAGTAATTAACATATCCATTACCTCACATAGTTTTTTTTTTTTATATTATTTTGTTTCTAATGAATAATTCTATCCAGTCTCACTGAAGAATTAAATTATCTTCTGAGCATATTTATATCAAAATTGGGGGGCAATTAGATAAAAACCTTAGAAAAGATAAGTACTTTTATCCTGAATAAATACATTGAAAATCCTTGAAATGATAAAATGAATACTAAATATGTGAATGTTTCATTACATGAAGCAGTCCTAAATATAAGCCCACATAGCACCACCTAGTGTCAGTACCACTCAGAATAAAACAAAAACTAAACATTAACACTTAGTGGTATTGTGCTTCTGTAATGGGGTGGGAAGATGCATATTGGCATGGCCAACAAAATGTAGAGCAAAATAAAACATCTTCTAATATGTAAAATATTGCCTTTTAAAAATTCTCTTGTAATTTTTTATTCAGGCTAATATTGAAAATGATTTCAAGTTTTTTATTTCTATGTGTCCTTAAGTCTTTCTTGAATCGTGGCTTTTAATGATAAATATAATTTCTTATAATATTTCGTATTAGATCAAGAGCAGAGATTGAACATGAAGCACTGATTGATGGAAACCTGGCTACTGAAGCAAACCTAATCATTTTGGATACATTAGAGATTGTTGTCCAGGTAAGAACACAAAGAGGAATTTAAAATACAGATTTGGTAAATTGGGTTTGGGGAAAAGTATTTATTGAGCCACATAACTATATTTACATATAAATAGTTCCTAAAAGTTTAGTTTCAAGTATTCTGTGATTCTCTAACTATAATTATAAATTATATCTGTTCCAAAGCTTCAAATGTTTATTCATTGAGGATGATTATAAAATCTATACCTCTTGGGCCGGCCCGGTGGCGCACTGCGCTAGTGCGCCGCTTGGGAAGCGCGGCGGCGCTCCCGTCAAGGGTTCGGATCCCACATACAGACCGGTTCCCGCTCACTGGCTGAGCGAGGCGCGGGGGCAGCGCCGAGGGTTGCGATCCCGTTGCTGGTCCCGGTCCGGTACGGGGGCGACACTGAGGGTTGCGAACCATTGCCGGACACGGAAAAAAAAAAAAAAAAAAAAAAAAAAAAAAAATCTATACCTCTTCATCTCTCCCCTTCAAGGCCTACTCTTGCATCTCCAAATGTCCACTGAGTATTTGTAGTTGGATGTTCTGCCATCATACCATATTCAACGTGCATGTATTGCCATAGCTACATAAAGATACACCAGTTATATTCAGTATCTTCTGCATATGACAGCAGTGTTTAGGTTCTTTATATATAATTATCTTATTTGGTCCTAACAGTAGCAGTATTGTTTTATTAGTAACAATAGTGAGAACTTTCAATTATTAAGTGTTTCCTGTGTTAGACATTGTCCTGGGAACTTTACAAACATTAACTCATTTATCCTTATAAGAAATCATGCAGTTGAAACTATCAATATCCCCATCTCATGGATGAGAATACTCAGGTACAGAAATGTTTAATAATTGCCCATGATCACACAGCAAGTAAGTGGGAGAACCCAAATTTAAATGAATTACCAAGATTTCTCAGTTGTTTTCGTAAATACATCTCTCACTTATTCATTTCCTTCCTTTTCTATTACCATCATTCTTTGTCAGGTTCTTATTTTAAAACTATTACAATGGCCACCTCCTTCATGATATTCACTTTTTATTCTTCCCATTCTAATCCATTCTGTACATTTCCATGAGATTATTCTTCATAAAATATTTTATCTTTCATTGCCATGATTATTATTTTAAAAATGTAAAACATTTAGTATTTCTTGATTGCCTGAAGAAAAAAATGGGAAACTTTTCAGTCTTAGAAGTCTCTTTATATTTTTGGTACTCTTTTAATTGGAGTAGGTCTAACTACTGTTACAAAGAGAATCAAAAGAAACAGTAAGTCAAAGATAGTGCTGTGGTTTGAATAGCCCCTCCAAATCTCATGCTGACACTTAATTCCCATTGTAATGGTATTAAAAAATGTGTGAAGTCTGACTATGGTATTTGAAAGGTAGTGACCTTTAAGAGGTGATTAGACATGTTTAAGAGGTGATTAGGCATAGCCCTCATGAACGGATTAATCCATTAATTAATTCATGAATTAATGGATTAATGAGTTATCATAGGAGCAGACTGGTGGCTTTATAAGGAGAGGAAGAGAGCATGTTAGCATGCTCAGTTCTCTTACCCTGTGATGCCCTGTACCACCTTGAGACTCTGCAGAGAGTCCCCACCAGCAAGAAAGCCTTCACCAGATGTACCCCCTCAACCTTGGACTTCCTAGCCTCCAAAACTGTAAGAAATAAATTTTGTTTCTTTATAAATTGCCCAGTTTCATGTATTCTGTTATAAGCAACAGAAACCTGCCTGAGACAAAGGGTTGGTACTGTGAAATGGGGTGTTGCTCATAATGAATAACTGAAAATGTGGAAGCAGCTTTGGAATTGGGTAATGGTCAGAGGCTGGAAGGATTTAGAGGAGCAGGCTATAAAACACCTAGGTTCTATGATGGTTCAGAAGAAGACAAAGAGAATAGGGAAAGTTTGGAACTTCTCAGAGATTATTTAATTCTGATAGAAATATGGACACTGAAGGCCATTCTGATGAAGTCTCAGATAGAAATAAGGAATAAGTTATCAGGAACTGGAGTAAATGCCATCCTCATTATAGATCAGCAAAGAATTTGGCTGAATTGCATTCATTCCCGAGGGCTTTATGGAATGTAGAACTTAGAGCAATGAATTTAAATATTTGGTGGAAGAAATATCCAAGTATCATAGTATTCAGGCTGTTGCATAGCTACTTTTAACAGCTTACATTACACTGTGAGAGGGAAAAAAATGATTTGAAGAGGAACTTTGTAATCAAATGGGAAGCAGACCTTCCCAGCCTGCCCATGTAAGGAGCAAAAAGGGGTGTATGGAAGAGTGCGTGGTTGCTTCTGTTTGATTAGTTGCTAAAGAAATTAGCACTGATAAAAGGGATCCATGTGCTATACATCAAAAGAATGGAAGAAAGACCCCAAAGCCATTTCAGAGATCTTTGAAGCTGCCCCTTCCATCACAGGTTCAGAGGCCTGGGATGGCAGAATGGTTCCCAGACACTCTCTACAGACTAACTGCCCAGGGATGCCTCAGCTCTCCACTCCCTGTATTGCAGCATAGTGCTCCTCAGCTGCCCCAGCTGTGGCTAAAATGGCCTCAGGTGGGGCCAGACCCTTTGCTGGGGAAAATAGAGCTATAAGCCTTGGTGAGGCCCACGTGGTGTTAAGTGTCTAGGCTTGCATAATGCAAGAGCTATGGAGGCATGGCAGCCTCCACCCAGATTTCAAAGGATATATGATAGCCCAGGCAGAGACTTGTCACAGGGGCTGAGCCACCACAGAGAACCTCCACTAGAGCAATCATGCTCAGCTCCTTCTGTTTGAAATACTCCTAGATCTTATACAAGGGTACCTCAAAAAGTTCATGGAAAGATAGAATCAAAAGATAATATGAATCCACAAAGATTATTTTTTTATCTTTTAAAAGTATGTGTGTTTGCTTATACATATGTTACCTCCCCAACCAAACTGCAGACACATCTCTATTTTACCTACTTATTTTTAAATTGCAGACAGTTTCTGTAACAGAATCCAAAGAGAGCATCCTTGGTGGGGTGCTAAAAGTGCTACTACACAGCATGGCTTGCAACCAAAGTGCGGTTTATCTGCAACACTGTTTTGCTACACAGAGAGCCCTTGTTTCAAAGGTAGGTTATTTTGTACCTGCAATATTGTCAGACTTTGCTTTCTTCATTAATGTCTAAGATAATTTGACACATTCGTTGGTCAAATTCATTGGTCTACAACATGTGTAGATAAAATTTACATAATAATCTAAGACCCTTGATTCTTTTTTGCCTCTCTGCTACTTGCCCACATTGTGGAATTTCTCATTTATTTGGATCTCCTTTAATAACTTTCTGGTTTAAGAGATAGAATTTTGATGTGAAGAAGGGCCTGAAATTAATAGCTAATCTTAACTGTTTTCTCTTCATCTTATTCTGTTTCTTTTTAACTCAATTTATCAAGAATTCAATATAAAAGCAATTCAACCCATTGAAATTAATTTATTCTCTGGTGAATGAAAGAAAATATTTCTGTTTGTTCAACTGCTGTAAATAATTATTTCCAATGTTTGTTTTCCCCCAGAAATATGTATATTCTTAAAATTTTTTTCTACATTTTTTAAAATTTGATTTTTGAGTTGAAACAATTGATTATGCATATTTATGGGGTACAGAATTGACTATCAATATTTGTGTATGATATATGATGATCAGATCAATTTTATTAGCATGTTCACCTTACAAATAGTAATTATTCTTTGCATCCCTTACGCAGTTACTCCTTAACCCCCTCTGCCTCCCCCTTTCCCACCTCTAGGAAGTATAGGTCTGTTCTCTCCTTCTGAAAGTTCAACGTTTTATTGTGGTCGCTCCCTCCTTCCCTTCCTTCCTTACTTCCTTTCCACTTACCACAAAGAGAATGTGGTATTTCTCTTTCTGTGCCTGACTTATTTCACTTAACATAATTTTCTTCATGCTCATCCATATTACTATGAATGGCAGAATTTCATTCTTTTTCATGGCTGAGTAGTATTCCATCTTGTATATATACCATGCTTTCCTTATCCAGTTATCTGTTGATGAACATTTAGGTTGGTTCCAACTCTTAGCTATTGTAAATAGAGCCGAGAGTGCAGTTATCCCGTTGACATGATGATTCCCATTCCTTTGGATATATACCCAGAAGTGGCATTGCTGGGTCATATGGTAGTTCTATCTGTAGGTGTTTAAGAAACCTCCATAGTGTTTTCCATAATGCCTTTACTAATTTACAGTCCCACCAACAGTGTAAAAGAGTTCTCTTTTCTCCACATCCTCGCCAGCATTTGTTATTCTCAATCTTTTTCATAATAGCCAGTCTAACTGGGGTGTGATGAGATCTCATTGTGGTTTTGATTTGCATTTCCCTGATGATTAGTGATGTTGAGCATTTTTTCCAGTACCTTTTCTTTGCCTAGTCCTATATCCTGAAGCATTTCTCCTGTTTTCTTCTAGGAGTTTTATTTATAGTTTCAGGTCTTGTACTTAAGTCTTTAATCGGTTTTGAGTTGATTTTGGTATATAGTGAAAGGTATGGGTCCAGTTTCATTCTTCTACATATGGACATCTAGTTTTCCCAATGCTGTTTACTGAAGAAGCTGTCCTTTCCACCATGTATTCTTGGTGCCTTTGTTGAAGATTAGCTATAAGTACCCACATAGATCAACTGCAGATAGATATACTGTACAACTACGGATAGATCTACCATGTGATTGAGCAATCTCACTTCTGTGTATATAACCAAAGGAACGTTGAAGGGGGGTACATGCACTTCCGTGTTCATTGCAGCTCTATTTACAGTAGACAAGATATGGAACCAACCAAAATGTCCATCAACAGATGATTGGATAAGGAAAATGTGGTATGTATACACAATGGAATACTACCCAATCATAAATAGGAATGAAATTCTGCCATTTGAAGCAACATGGATGAGTTTGGAGAAAATCGTGTTAAAGTGAAATAAGCCTGGCACAGAGGGAAAAATACTGAATGTCCTCACTATAAGTGGGAGCTAAGAGAGAAGGAAAGAAGCAAACAAAGACCACAGCAGTGTGCTGAACTTGCAGAGAGAGAACAGACCTAGGGTTGCTGGGGCAGGTGTGATGGGTTAGAGGGAGAGTTGCATTGAGGAGAAGTTGAATGGGGGACATGGGGAATAATTGCAATTTGAGGTGGTGGGCATGCTGATAGTATTGCTTTGCTCACCACATCTTCGACACAGGTGTTGATGGTTAGCTCTTGTATATGTATAACCAATGAAGATAAATAAATAAATAAATAAAATAAAATCAGAATTTCTGCAGGTACATAAAAAAAAAAAAAAAAAAAAAACAAAATTTCCGCAGGTAAAAAAAAAAAAAAAAAAAAAACAAAATTTCCGCAGGTAAAAAAAAAAAAAAAAAAAAAACAAAATTTCCGCAGGTAAAAAAAAAAAAAAAAAAAAAACAAAATTTCCGCAGGTAAAAAAAAAAAAAAAAAAAAAACAAAATTTCCGCAGGTAAAAAAAAAAAAAAAAAAAAAACAAAATTTCCGCAGGTAAAAAAAAAAAAAAAAAAAAAACAAAATTTCCGCAGGTAAAAAAAAAAAAAAAAAAAAAACAAAATTTCCGCAGGTAAAAAAAAAAAAAAAAAAAAAAAGACTGGGCAAAGACTTTATGAATAAGACCCCAAAAGCACAAGCAATGAAAGAAAAAATAAACTAATGGGGTTATATCAAACTAAAAAGCTTCTGCACAGCAAAGAGAACAATCAACTGAGTGAAGACAGCCTATAGAATGGGAGAAAATATTTGCAATCTATACATCTGACAAGGGATTAATATCCAGAATATACGAGGAACTTAAACAACTTCGCAGTAAAAATCAAATAATCCAATTAAAAAATGGGCAAAAGAGATGAATAGATATTTTTTAGAGGAAGACATACAAATGGCCAACAGGTACCTGAAAAAATGCTCAACATCACTAGTCATCAGGGAAATATATTCTTAAATTTTGGAAGTAGTCGTTTCATCTTAGTCATCCTAGAAGATGGAATGCAGAGATGTGATAAAATTTAACCAGTGAAAGTAACTTATATGCTATTTTCTAATAATAAAAACATATTATAGAATTCTTATATGTTGGTTACTATAATAAGTGTTTTATACACATTATCTGATTGAACCCTCACAACAATCCTGTCTGGATATTAGTGTTAGGCCTATTTTATGGTTAAGAAAACTTGTCCAAGGTTACACTACTAGCTAGTAAGTGGCATAATCAGTATTCAAACCCAGTCTGACTGACTGTATGGTCCATACTATTAACCATTAGGTAATACTGTCCCATCACATTCTTTTAATTTCTGTGCTATAATAACAGATCTTCATTTCAGTCTATATTAACATATCACTGGAACTTTTACTGTATAAATTCAGTGTTGGTAGTAGTTTTTTGGTTTGTTTGTTTTTGTTTTTGCTTTTTTTTACAGTTCCCTGAACTCTTGTTTGAAGAAGAAACAGAGCAGTGTGCTGATTTATGCCTCCGTCTTCTTCGACACTGTAGCAGTAGCATTAGTACAATTCGGTCACATGCTAGCGCATCCCTTTACCTACTAATGAGACAAAACTTTGAGATTGGGAATGTAAGTATTTTACTATGAAAATGTTCTGGATTATGAAATATAACTTCTGCAAATAGCTATTAAATAGGTTTTTAGGGAGCATGGAGTTTTCTGTATATTTTGAGTCTAATTTTATACTGTTTTGATATTTCTTATTCTATGGATATCTTACAGTAGTCTAAAAGTCCAGTTTTGCTTCCTGTACTAAACAAATGCATATATTGTAATACAGATTTAGAATATAAATGTACATTAACAATTTTAAATTTTAATTATTATCCCTAGGTAAAAGAAAGTAATACAGAAAACTAAAGGTGGAAATATGTTGGCTTGATATTTCAACTCTATGTCACAGATTTGAAAAATTCCATGTTTTTATTTAACTTTTTTGTTAGCTACTATATCTATGTATTGTTTTTTTCTTAACTTTTTGAGTCAAATATTTAATTTTTTTCTTTTTACTCATGTATGTATTTAAGGCCATAGCTTTTCCTTAAGCACTACTTTTGGTACCTCATTGTTCTGATATACAGTAATTTTGTAATTTTAATTTGCATTTTCTTTTTAACCCGAAGAGTAGACAGGCCTTTTAGTTTCAAAGTTTGGTGTTAATTTTTAGTTCTATTGCATTGTGATTATACAATGTATATACTATTTCTCCCTTTATGTACTGTGGGAGTATGTATTTATGTGTCCAAACATATAGTTTTTATGAACTACAAGCACTTAAAAGGAGGAGTATTTCTGTTCACAGAATATTGAGATAAACATTTGCCAAACAAATATGCCTTACATTATTCTGTTTTTCTATATTCATGTTTATTTTTCGATCACTTGGTAGACTGATGGAGGTGAATTAAAGCCTATACATGTGTTTGTCTGTTTCTCCTTTAGCTCTTATTTAGTGTATTGATATTCACACTATAATATCATCTTATGAATTATTCTTCTTTAGAACTGAAAAGAACCCATCTTGGTTTTATTTAAGACTTTTTTTTCCTTGGCCTGAATTCCCTCTGGTATGGTATTAAGATCTTGACCTCTGCTTTTTTTTTTTTTTTTTTTTCCTTTTTGTCTTTTTTCGTGTCCGGCAACGGATTGCAACCCTCAGTGTCGCGCCCGTACCGGACCAGGACTGGCAACGGCATCGCAACCCTCGGTGTCGCGCTCGCACCTCGCTCAGCCAGTGAGCGGGAACCAGTCTGTATGTGGGATCCGAACCCTCGGCGGGAGCACCGCCATGCTCCCAAGCGGCGCACTGTAGCAGTGCGCCACCGGGCCGGCCCAACCTCTGCTTTTTTTATTTGAATTTGCTTCAGTTACCTTTGCCTACTTTTTTATTTTCACTTTGTTTTAGGTGTGCCTCTCATATACAAACATAGAGTTGAATTTCGCTCTACAATTCGATTTCTAATTTGAATTAAACCTTTTCCTGTTTGTTATTACATTAGACATGTTCTAGAATTCTGTTGTATTATTTTAAGACTTCCCCCACCTCTTCTTTAAAAAAAAATTTGTGTTGATTGTTTTCATCTTACACTCTATAGTCAGTTCCCCTTTTTTTTTTTTTTTTCCTTTTTGTCTTTTTTCGTGACCGGCAACGGGATCGCAACCCTCAGTGTTGCTCCCGCACCTCGCTCAGCCAGTGAGCGGCCGGTCCAGTTCACCTTATTTTTTGAGTGTATTGTTTATTATATTTAGCAAAGTTTATATATTTGCTGCAATGGTTACATTAGTTATTCTGCAATATTTCCAGTCCTCTATTTCCTTAGATCATACGTTCTCAGTGGGAGCAGTATTGCAGTCAAGGGAGTGAAAATGGGTACTTGAAGGGGATGCAAAAAAAATCTTAGGTATTACAACAGTTTGTGGTTCTACTAAGATGAATACTGCCCCACAACATCTCATTCCTTAGTATTGAACTCTTCATTTGTTTTATTGGGTATCACATGAGCAACATTGACATTAAGTACATGGAATATAAACAAAGAACAAAATGTATGCAAAACTGATGTTACAAAATGATGGAGAATACATGGCTGTGATGGGGGGACTTTTAATTAATTACTTGATCTCAGAGTCGTGTGAGAAGAGGTTAGCTTCTAGTGGCTGTCTTGTAGCTATTGTTTATGTTCAATTCTAAATTCTTTTCTGTGTGACTTGGGCTTTGGAAAAAAATTTTAACTTCATTATAATTTATTATTTAATTCTACAAAAGTTATTCAACCCATCATTAATCAATATCAATTGCTGAAAAGAAAAAAAAATGTCAACAATATCTGAATGACTCTAGCAGCTAGTTAAAACTTGTTGTTTTATATCAAACAAAAGTTAAAAGTTCACTAAAAATGATTTATCCCAAGCGGCACACTATCCAGTGCGCCACCGGGCCGGCCCCAAGAAATTAATTTTTAATTGTTTTCTTTTGCTGCACAAGTAGCAGCTTTAAATAAATTTCAAAATTTGATTATATTGCTATTAGTGTTTTGTATTTATATAAATTGGTAATTTGCATGTGTATTTTGATACATTATAGTTTAAGCAAAAAGATAACATTAAAAGTTTTTCAGCAAACAGGGCTATAAAGTTAAGTTAGATGTAAACAGTTTTCTAATTTTTAACTTAAAATTTTTATGTAGTCATTCATAATCTTGCATTGACTAAAAAGAAAAAGCTTTATATTTACTCTTTTTATGAATAAATCCAGATATATGGAGAGTACATAAATAGATATACTGTACGTCTCTGGTATTAAAATTTCATGGGAGGATGATTAGGAAAAAAAATTTAGGGACCAGCCCGTGGCTCACTTGGGAGAGTGCGGTGCTGATAACACCAAGGACACGGGTTCAGATCCTTAAAAAAAAAAAAAAAGAAAAAAAAATTTAGGAAAAGAATAGAAAAAACAAGGTTTCTTGGGGGGGCAGTAATGAATAAAATGTTGAGAAACACTGCTTGAGACAGTACCTATTAATAACCTTTAATGAACAGTGATAAAGTTGCTGGGTTTTTTCCCCTATCTTCCTCCCTGGCATTCTTCTTCCCACCTCAATATTTCAAGGAAGCATCTTTTTTTGCTGTTCATATTTGTATTGTTGAATATGCATGTGCTTGATTTTTCGGCTTTAATTAAAGTTATTTATTTATATCTATTGCAGATATGACAATGTACTTCTTTCTAACTTCTTTCCCCCTTCCATTTTTTCTTAGTGGTAACATTTCAGTCTTAGTTCTTAATTAGTCTTAGTAATAAAATGAAATATTGCTTGCCACTAGTTTTTTTTTGTTTGTTTGTTTGTTTTTGCTTTAGTCATCTTTTATTTGGCCAAATACTTTCCTCAAGAAGGTACTTGGTAGTGAAAATAAAATGCTGTTAAAACAAATGCAGGCCCTGGAGCCATATCTTGCAAATGAGAATTCTAAACTAGCATCTGAGAAGGTGGATAACTGTGAACATGCAGCCAAGTACATGAAGAACAGTCAAGTAAGGTTACCTTTGGGAACCTTAAGTAAATCAGAATGGGAAGCTACAAGTCTTTACTTGGTTTTTCGCCTTTGAGAAGCAGCAGTGAGTACGTAGGCAGCAGCCCCAGAATAGCTGTGTTCCATCCTGCACAGATTTGAGCAGTCTATCTCAGGTTGATTCAACAGCTCTCTTTATTTTAATTCTAAATGTGTAGATACTACCAGAAACTCCAGTGTATAAATATAACATTTGCTCCGAATAGCTGTGTTCCATCCTGCACAGATTTGAGCAGTCTATCTCAGGTTGATTCAACAGCTCTGTTTATTTTAATTCTAAATGTGTAGATACTACCAGAAACTCCAGTGTATAAATGTAACATTTGCTCCAATCTCAGGTTGATTCAACAGCTCTCTTTATTTTAATTCTAAATGTGTAGATACTACCAGAAACTCCAGTGTATAAATATAACATTTGCTCCGTGGTGAACTTTTATGTGTATATAAGAATGAGTTGGGACCTTTGTCTTTAAAAATCTATTTTTAAATAATGTTCTAAAAATTCCATTTGCCTCTACTCTCTTAGCTCATAAAAATTATAATATGACTTGTTAAAGCAAAAAAAAAAAATGTTCTTGGGAATAATATTTTTCAGGTTCTTGATCACTCAAAGTTGTATGTACTTACAGGACAGCAAGGTTGGTTATGAAATTTTTGCCTCAGACTTTGAATATTAAGAAGTGTGAAAAAGATCAGAAAATTTACCAGCTAAAGCACATTTAATTTTTAAAAAAAGGGAATTTGAGGACGATTGTCTTCTGGCATTAAGTGTTGTTCTAGAGATATCTGAACATAGGCTGGTATTTTTCTCCCTCTAAAATAAACTATTCCCCCAAGCTGCTGAAGTGATTCTCTTTTTATATATGTTGAATATTAAATACCTTTTCTAGAGTATATCTTGGTATTGACTGATTTTTGTTAATTTTCTCAGGCACATAATGTGTACTCTTAATTCATTTATTTCAGAAAGTTTTCTTGAGTATAAAATTAAATATTTGAAGACAAAGAATTCTAAAAGCAGCAAGAGAAAAGTGTCAAGTCATCTGTAAGTGTCAAGTTCCCATCAGATTGACAGCAGATTTCTCAGCAGAAACCATACAGGCGAGGAGAGAATGGGGTGGTGTATTTAAGGTACTAAAAGAAAAAAACTGCCAGCCAAGAATACCATACCCAGCAAATTATCTTTCAGAAATAGTATCCTTCCCAGACAAACATAAGCTGAGGGAATTCATCACCACTAGACAAGCACTACAAGAAATCCTTAAGGGAAACCTACACCTGGAAGCAAAAGGACAATAACAATTATTATGGATTGAATTGTGTCCCCCCAAAAGTTTAATGTGTTGGAGGCTTAGTCCCCACTATAACAGTGCTAAGAGGATGGGAAATCCTGTTGTGATAGTTGAAAGGTGGAGCCTTGGACAGGTGACTGGGTTGTGAGGACTGTACCCTCATGAATGGATTGATTCATTCTTGAAATAATGGGAGTGCTTCTGATG